CCCCACACGATGCCGTTTTGAACTCGACAGTTCGTTTTTTTACATCTGCCCGTTGGACTGTTACATTTCTCTTTTTACATAGGCATTTATTACGCACGTCACTCAGAGGACAACTGTCGCGACGTGCATCATCTCTTTATCAGACTTCTCAAATGGGCCCACTTAAGCCCATCTCAACACTCTTGTTCACTTTTATCCATTTTAAAATTTTACAAGTATTTCACTTCGGCTACGACCACAGTGACCCAGTGTCACATGATTTACTTCGGCTACGGCCACAGTGACCCAGTGTCACACGTTTTACTTCGGCTACGGCCACAGTGACCCAGTGTCACACGTCTTACTTCGGCTACGGCCACAGTGACCCAGTGTCACACGTCTTACTTCGGCTACGGTCACAGTGACCCAGTGTCACATGATTTACTTCGGCTACGGCCATAGTGACCCAGTGTCACATGATTTACTTCGGCTACGGCCACAGTGACCCAATGCCACACGATTTACTTCAGCTTTGGCCACAGTAACTCAGTGTCACGTAATTCACTTCGGCCCCAGCTACACTACTCTATTTATGCAATAACCCTATCACTTCCAACAACATCATTCACAAATGAATGACTTCAAGGAGGGGGGAGTAGTGTAAGGGCAGGTCCGAGGTGCCGCACCTCGGACGTACGACAGTAATTCCTTTACAACCGGAATAAAGAGTTACATCCAGAACTTCCTGCTCGGACGACTGCACAGCAGTTACGATGGACATCCTCACAACAGATCCCGAATACCTTGCTGGGCTTAATTTTCCGATCCCGAAATAACTGCCTAGAGATACATATCAAATCTCGAATATCTTGCTAGGCTTAATTTCCTGATCCCGAAATAACTGCCCGGAGATACACACCAAATCCCGAATGTCTTGCTTAGCATGCTGCGTGGGTTCTTCATTGGAACATATAAATACCCCTCAAGGGTCACGTCAAAAAAGTGATTGAAACCAACCCTAAGCTCTTCTAATCTTCGCTCTATTGGTAGCCCCGATTATTGCTGACTTAAGCATCGGAGTGTCTACCCCGAGATCTATCTCGGGGCTTTGCAGGTCAACCCGGAGTGCAGATACGGAGTGAAGAAGAACGACTGGTTTGGTGCAGTTACATTTTGTGCCCTCTCCTGAAGCAGAAGTGCCAGTCCTGCCTGCTGGAGACGAGCCACCTCTACCACCTCTTCCTGTTGAGGAGCAGCCTCCTCCTCCAACAGAGTAGCTTAGGTTTTTATTTTGTTAGTTATATTTGTAAATAACATTTGTTGAGATTTTATAAAATTTTTAAAGTTTTACTCTTGGTCTCCAGTTTTGGTTTCGAATTGCTAGTTTATTTTAAGTGAATGACTTCGGATAAAATAGAGTAACTTTATTTAATACAAGGTTCTGATCTCGAGCAGAGGAACTGACCTTGGATATATATATAAGAGGCGGACTTCAAATATAGGAATGAGTAAATCACTTCAAATGTAAGTGTAATAAAATCATAACCCAACAGATGAAGCGACTGAATAAGTTATAATGAAAGGACTGAATCACTTCGAAAGTGAAGTGAAGTTCATTAACGATGTAAAGGAATTGAGTTCGGACACAAATAAAATAACAATGAATATAAAAATGAGACAAAGTTTACTGGAAAAAGATACATTAAAGGTAAAATTTCTTCAAATTATTGACATTCCAGACTCTAGGAACCCTTTTTCCTTCAGTGTCCCGTAGGATATAAGCACCTGGGTGCGGCACTTCTGCGACAGTGTAGGGGCCTTCCCAGTTTGGTGCCAACTTCCCGAATCGAGTTTCGAACCCCGTTAGACCAGCTTTCCTGAGAACAAGGTCTCCTACGTTGAATGTTCGGGGTTGAACTCGTCTGTTGTAGAAGTTTGCTATCTTCTGCTTGGAGACTAGAGTTCGAAGTCGCGCTTCTTCTCTAACGTCATCAAGCAGATCAAGGTTCTCCCGAAGCAGCTATCCATTTCATCTTTCATCGAAATGGGTGACCCTGAAGCTCGGGACTCCTATTTCGATAGGAATGACTGCTTCGGTTCCGAAGGCCAGATGATAAGGTGTTTCGCCTATTTCAGTGGATTATGACTTTAGAATGCGCTTTACACATTATGCATTTTTGCTCTAAGGTAAAACCGTAGCAGAAGAAGTAAAATAATATAAATTAGTCAAATAGGCCAGGTGTTAGAGCAATACCTGTGGCAGTTCGACTCGTAGTTCTGTATGCCCAGAGGACGTTGTTGAGCTCGTCTGCCCATTTGGCCTTGTGTTGTTCCAGCCTCGGCTTTATACCTTCTAAGATACACTTGTTAACAGATTCGACCATGCCGTTGGACTCCGGATGGTAAACCGAGGTGAACTGCAGTTTAATCCCATAGCTGGAATAGAAATCTCGAAAAGAGGTGCAGTTAAATTGCGTTCCATTATCAGCCACAATCTGATTCGGGATCCCATATCTGCAGATGATTGAGCTGAAAACAAAGTCTTCAACCTTTTTGGAAGTAAGACTGGATAATGGCCGAGCTTCAACCCACTTTGTGAAGTAATCCACACCAATAATCAGGTGGGTTACACCACCAACCCCCTTCACGAATGGGCCCAAAAGATCAAATCCCCACTGAGCAAATGGCCATGGTGCTACCAAAGTAGTGAGTTCTTCTGCAGGCTGGTGAGTCAGGTGTTCAAAGAACTGGCATTTCAAGCATCTCTAAACAAAGTGAGTGGCATCCTTGTACATGTTGGGCCAATAATAACCTTGTCTAAGGACTTTATGAGCCAAAGTTCGAGCACCCACGTGACTTCCGCAGACACCTTCATGTACCTCCCTGAGTGCATATTCTGCTTCATAGGGATTCAAGCACCGTAGAAGAGGTAGAGAGAAAGATCGCTTATAGAAGACCCCATCAACAAGTGCATACCGAGATGCTTTCCTTCTCAACTTCATTGCCTCCTGCCTGTCCTTAGGTACTATCCCATCTCGTAAGAAAGAGAGGATTGGGTCAGTCCAGCTCGGTGTGCTTGGGTCGGTGCTGATCTTCATCACCCGTGGCTTCATGAAGCTTGGTTCATCTAAGACTTCCACAAAAACTGATCTGGAATGTGAAGAACTATCAGAGGCGAATTTAGAGAGTGAATCTGCCTGTTCATTTTCAGTTCGGGGGATTTTGCTCAGACAGAATTTCTGGAATTTGCACTTCAGCTCAGCGACCAGAGCTACATATTTCATCATCACAGGATCAACAACTTCGCAGATTGAGTTAATTTGGTTCACCACCAGCTGGGAGTCACAGTATACCTAGATCGCACTGAGTTTTAATTCCAATGCTAACTGCAGACCAAGTAGCAGGGCTTCATACTCGGCCATGTTGTTTGTTGCATCGAAGTTGAATTTCAAAGCATGTTCACTTCAGTATCCATCTGGGCCAATCAAGAGAGCACCAACTCCTGAACCTTTGCTACTAGATGCCCCATCAACGTATAAGGTCCAATCATTGGGCTCTGGAGTAGGAATGGAATTACCTGGAGTGCACTCTACAATAAAATCTGCCAGTGCCTGAGCTCGGATTGCAGATCTCTGCTGAAATGTTATCTCAAATTCCCCCAGTTCTACTGCCCACTTAATTAATCTTCCAAAACACTCAGGCTTTTGCAGAATCTGCCGAAGGGGTTGGTCTGTAAGAATAATGATCGGGTGCGACTGAAAATATGGCCTCAACTTTCTGGCCGAAGTGACAACTGCTAAGGCTGCTTTCTCCGCTATAGGATACCTCAGCTCGGCTCCATGCAGCACGCTGCTGATATAATATATTGGTTT